CTGAACTCTGCGCAGATATAAAAGACACGAAAGTAACGCCGCTCTGTAATCACTCACACAGCACTGCAAGGCCTTGTTCACCCCAAATGCAGAGCAGATCCGGTCAGGTTTCTGCACACGCACGCTAGTCTTTTAGATGCGTTTTTGGCTAAACATGGGCTTTCAGTGCGTTCCAGGCATTTGCATGCATTTTTGATGCGTTTGCAGATCCAGAGCAGGTAAAATAGGGCTTGCTGCAGTTTTTTTACCTGCTCTGGACCTGCACGCTGCGATGTGAACTGGAGCTAAAAATACCACAGGAATACATTGGACGCAGTTTTGATCCGGTCTGCACCTGCTCCGCGCTTGGTGTGAACTAGCCCTAAGCCTACATTGACACCTCAGCAACATGAAGCTCTGCGCTTTTTCAGCGTGTTTTTGCATAGTTTAACACACATACATTAAGTTGTGTTTTAATGAATAGATTGTGGAACACTGAAGTGAATGTACAGGTGTGCAAAACGCACATTAAAAAAAATGCAAAAAGCAGCAAACGCGCGTTCTTGAGTGTTTCCATTGAAGTCTACGGGGCCAAAAAGAAGCTCATGTACTTTCTTCAAGCGACTGGCAATTTGCTACAAGCGATAGAATGCTCAGATATGAACATTGGCATAGAAAAGATTGAGAATTTTTGGGGGGCTATTTCTAAGCAGAAAAAGCGCTACAAAACGCTCAACGTCAATGAGAGCTTACTGTCCAGTCACAGGCTGGGGCGAGTCCAAGATGACCTAGGCGGAGAAGAAAGGGGTTGAATGATGCTGTCCTTCAGACTGAGGACATCATAGTGTAGAAAAGTACTGTGGGAGAAATCTCTGCATGAAAAGTGTATATGGCTGCAAAAGCTGGTTTTGTTATCTTTTAATGGGCAATTCATTTTTGTTGTTTTCTGATTTCTGCTTAAAAGAGAACTATGACCCAAACTTTTTTTGGCCATAGTTCTCTTTAGGCTTACCGGAGGACGTATACAATGTCCCCCTGTGACCCAAAACTCAGCATATAGCGTGCTATTGCCAGTTATATGCTGAGAGCGCAGAACAGTGCTGCAGCCGGGAAAGATAAGGACAATATTGTTGGGATCCACCCCGCCACCTGATTGACAGCTGGCTCTGCCTCTCTAGAGCCAGCTGTGCCCACACCTTACCCCATCTGCCCCCCCAGTCAGTGCTGGAGATCAGAGGGGAGGGGGGAAATCCCTGCAGGGATCGGTGACTGACCACTCTCTGCAGGTAGAAGGCCGGAAAATGAGCGATATGTGATCACTCAGTTCTCAATCAAAAGAGCCGCTGCGTGACAGCTACAGAATAATGATATATATATATATATAGGTAAGTATTTGAAATTCCTGGAGTTCTCCTTTAGTGTAGAGCTCGTCTAATTATTTTGCATATAGGAGGGGGAAAAAATCCATTTAGAGAACTCAAAAATACAAATGTACAAGTAAAATATACAATTCGTTTAATGTAGCAAAGTGCTATGGAGAAAAAGCAATTACTCATGTGTTACCATGGCAGCAGATGGTAGGTGGTGTTTTGGCTGCTTGAAAAACGACTTACAAAACCACAGAACAGTAGCAGTGCGGGCAAGGTTTACGTTGCTTCAGCCTCATCATTTTACGCTTTTTGAAAAGGTTCCACAAAGTTATTTTAACACCGGGACTTACATACAGATAACATATCAAGACTGTATGTAGAAAGACAAATCAAATTGTGCAAAACACAATCCACATGATAAAGGAAAGAAAATGTAAAAGGTACAGAAGGGTTACATCTGGAAAATCGGCTGTAAATACACCAACTATTAAAGCTGAACTCTGCGCAGATATAAAAGACACGAAAGTAACGCCGCTCTGTAATCACTCACACAGCACTGCAAGGCCTTGTTCACCCCAAATGCAGAGCAGATCCGGTCAGGTTTCTGCACACGCACGCTAGTCTTTTAGATGCGTTTTTGGCTAAACATGGGCTTTCAGTGCGTTCCAGGCATTTGCATGCATTTTTGATGCGTTTGCAGATCCAGAGCAGGTAAAATAGGGCTTGCTGCAGTTTTTTTACCTGCTCTGGACCTGCACGCTGCGATGTGAACTGGAGCTAAAAATACCACAGGAATACATTGGACGCAGTTTTGATCCGGTCTGCACCTGCTCCGCGCTTGGTGTGAACTAGCCCTAAGCCTACATTGACACCTCAGCAACATGAAGCTCTGCGCTTTTTCAGCGTGTTTTTGCATAGTTTAACACACATACATTAAGTTGTGTTTTAATGAATAGATTGTGGAACACTGAAGTGAATGTACAGGTGTGCAAAACGCACATTAAAAAAAATGCAAAAAGCAGCAAACGCGCGTTCTTGAGTGTTTCCATTGAAGTCTACGGGGCCAAAAAGAAGCTCATGTACTTTCTTCAAGCGACTGGCAATTTGCTACAAGCGATAGAATGCTCAGATATGAACATTGGCATAGAAAAGATTGAGAATTTTTGGGGGGCTATTTCTAAGCAGAAAAAGCGCTACAAAACGCTCAACGTCAATGAGAGCTTACTGTCCAGTCACAGGCTGGGGCGAGTCCAAGATGACCTAGGCGGAGAAGAAAGGGGTTGAATGATGCTGTCCTTCAGACTGAGGACATCATAGTGTAGAAAAGTACTGTGGGAGAAATCTCTGCATGAAAAGTGTATATGGCTGCAAAAGCTGGTTTTGTTATCTTTTAATGGGCAATTCATTTTTGTTGTTTTCTGATTTCTGCTTAAAAGAGAACTATGACCCAAACTTTTTTTGGCCATAGTTCTCTTTAGGCTTACCGGAGGACGTATACAATGTCCCCCTGTGACCCAAAACTCAGCATATAGCGTGCTATTGCCAGTTATATGCTGAGAGCGCAGAACAGTGCTGCAGCCGGGAAAGATAAGGACAATATTGTTGGGATCCACCCCGCCACCTGATTGACAGCTGGCTCTGCCTCTCTAGAGCCAGCTGTGCCCACACCTTACCCCATCTGCCCCCCCAGTCAGTGCTGGAGATCAGAGGGGAGGGGGGAAATCCCTGCAGGGATCGGTGACTGACCACTCTCTGCAGGTAGAAGGCCGGAAAATGAGCGATATGTGATCACTCAGTTCTCAATCAAAAGAGCCGCTGCGTGACAGCTACAGAATAATGATATATATATATATATATTTCCATAAAACCCCTCCAACTCCCGGGAGACCTATGTTTTGTAGAAAGCAATAGGAAGATCAAGAAAAGAATTTTACAGGTAATTAAAAAACCTGCATCATATAGTACAGGAATGTTGTTGTAACCTTGGGACATCCAAAAGCAATCCAACTTAGGGATGGGCAAAACAGCAAACACATGCAAACTGGCCCAGATAACAAAGTGCCTGCTGCACACCATACAGCATTATGACCAGTGTAGGGAAGAAAGGTGCCACCACAAAGGGCAATGGGCAAAACCTCACAGATGTGTAGATGTCACCAGCACTCAAATGCAAAGAAAATATTGTTTATTGTAGGGACGTTCAGATACCAAGTACCGGACTCGGTTCAAGTAAGGAGCACACGGAGCTCCTGGGATTTGTATATCTGTTTTAATGTACGATTTTGTTTTTATAAATATATATATAGTGATGCACCGATACCATTTTTGCGAGTACGAGTACCGTTACATTTTTGTTTATTGTCATGTGACAGTTTTTCTAAAACAATACAGACTAATGATTTCAGGACACTGGTGGAGCGCCAGGTACAGGTCCCAGTGGCAACCCTGGTAGTTCTCCTGAAAATGCCAAATATCGGCACTGGTGCTCGAAAAGTATCGATGCATCCCTAGTTTATTGCAAATAACGTCACATAGGTCAAAATTCTCAAAGTTTTGGGGCAATGCAAGGTCCTCTCAGTGACTGTCGATATCACCTTCAGGAAGGGACCCTTCGCAGCCCAGAAACATTGGCAATTTTGATATACCGTATTTGCCGGCGTATAAGACGACCCCCTACTTTTTGTGTTAAAATATAGGTTTTGGGCTATACTCGTCGTATAAGACGAGTATAGCCCAAAATAATGTTTAAATGCACCCACTAACATCCATGGCGGTATTCCAGAGTGTGGTTCGGGGTTAATTTTCAGTACCATAAGCGGTAACCCCGAGCCACAATCGGGATTACAGTCTCTTACCTTGTATACGATCCCCGCTGTGTCAATCACGGCAGGCTTTGTATTAATGAATACAAAGCATGTATTCATTAATACAAAGCCTGCCATGATTGGCTCAGCGCGGTATACTGTATGTAGCTGAAGCTACATACAGTATACCGTATCCTTCTGTATGTACCCGGCGTATAAGACAAAACCCCGATTTTTGGGGGATGTTTTAAGGTTTCAAAACCCGTCTTATGCGCCGGCAAATACGGTATGTGATGTTCTTTGCAAGAAAGGATATTATTTTCTTGGCATTTTGGAGTGCTGGTGACTTATCTTCACATCTCAAAGTGCAAAGGAAAACCAAATAAACTCAAATGAGCCTAAAGCACCTTACACCCAAAACTGGCACAAGATGAGGCTCTTGAACATCCATCCGGTAAAAATGAACAAACGGCTCAAAAAGAAGACGATCAGGGAAACATGCTGAAAAGCCAGGTACACAGTAACAGATCTTAAGTACGCTATAAGAGGGAGGAATGGAACCAGATCATTTATCATATAGGCTGAAACGATGAATTGTCTAATCCACCTAGCAATGGTGAAATAAGTTGAACCTCTACTGCAGGGGTGGGAAACTCCGGCCCCCCAGATGTCAGGGGAGGGGGGCATGAAGAAAAGGGTTTACTTTTTATGAAAGTGCACTTTTTTTTTTACCAGCCGATGTGTTTGTTGGACAGCATGACCAGCTCACCGACTTGAGTCATTGCCTAAAAAAATTGCTTTGTAAAGATTCATGAACACAATGATTAAAGGAAAAAAGTGTACTCACCTTCTGACTTTAACTTTGTAAGAACAAAAATTAGATAATTGTTGAAGTCTGGAAACTGATTGAGCTGTTCCAATTTCTGAGATACAGAGTCAAGGACATAACACAGGCAATATAAACAGGATGAGCGCTTTATTCAAAACAAAACACAGCCCTTCTTTATTCACCTTTCCGATCACACTGATAGAAGTCATTAATAACCATCTGTCAAGCCCGCTGACTGTATTGAAGAATGCTGCCAACTTGTATTTAAAGGCGATTTAAAGATGCCAGAATCACATTAGGTATTTGCCTGTACGTTACAGCCCCACAGACTTCTATGTGGAACACACAAGGCCAGAGACAGACAGAAGTCTATGGGGCTGTAATGCACAGGCTCGACCAGGATGTAGATAAACAGCAGAGGCTGTGGTTGAGCAAGGTAAGTACGTACAGTGGTACCTCGTTCATGAGCTTAAAGGAGAACTATGAGATGAGTGATTTCCACTCACCTCATAGTTCTAAGCCGACCTGTGACAATGAGACTGTCACAGGTCGGCTCAGTAGATCGGGAGGTGAGGGAACACATACCGGGTTCCCTCACCTCTCGATCCTGTCACGGCTCTCTGCCGTGGCAGGGGGAGGGGCTGGATTCCCCTCTCCGATCTGCCAGCGCTGACTGAAAGAACGGACGGGGGAGGGGGTGGGTACAGCTGGCTCTGCCTCTAGATAGGCAGAGCCATCTGTCACTCACACAGCTGGGCGGATCCCGTCAGCTACGTCGGGATCCGCTCCAGGTGCGGCGTCTCAGTATACCGCGAGCTGTAGCTCGCGGTATACTGAGCTTAGGGTAACGGGAGGACGCTAGTTTGTGTCCTCCCGTTACCCCAAGGAGAACTATGGGGAAAACCACTGACCCCATAGTTCTCCTTTAATTCGTTCCACGATTCTGGTCGCGAACTTAATCAGATTTCCCCATAAGGTTCAATGTAAATGAGGTTAATCCGTTCTGAACCATATGTAACTTCATTACCGCTCTGCACGTTCTTTGGAGCCGTGCTGGATTGAATACTAATGTACAGTACTGTATGTGCTAAAAAGCACAAAAAAAAGCTTCACAGCTAGTGTGCACGGGTCTGTCTGCGACCGCAATCTTGACTAGAGGAAGCCACGACCACGTGTCAGGGCTGGGAAGATGGCTACGGTCGTGTTTGTCACTCGATTTGGAGTTTGCGGACAGAAGCAAAATTTGGCCGAACCGAATGGTTTGTGAACGGAGGTATTACAGCATCTCTGGAGGGGGAAAGATGGGTTCAGTTAGATCAGGGCAATGGGGAAAAAATGATGAGTGCACTTTTTAACTTTTATGTATACGTTTGCTTTCACGATTTCAAAAAAAATAAATAGGCCATTCCAATTTCTTAAGAGGCATAATGAAATTCATTAGACAGGAAACCAACTTTTATAAAAATACAAAGTGCAAATTTCAAAACTAATTTTGAAAATCCTATAAATACGTCCACGTATAGAAGAGTTATGCTACGAATGTAAAGTATATTGCTGAGCAACATCTATTTTTACTCTTGATGAGTGGTTATATTAATAACTCGGTGACAAAGCGCTGTATCAAGTCCCTTCTAACCATCTCCTCCCTATGCAGCACAAGACAAGATTCAGATGATAATCACCTCTTCAGTACTTCCATGTATTACCAGAAAACTCTTTCAGACACAATTAGCATCAGATGCAATGAGTTCATGGCAGCACTTGCCGAACCTAATTAGTGAAACTTATAGCAAATTAACATACTGGGCAAACAGTTGTAGGAATCCTTACTGCAGCCCGCCCCTGAACAATCTCATCTTCTCATCACAGCAGGCCGGTGGCAATGCAAACCCAGAGCCTTTCTGGCTAAGGAAGGGGGGGGGTCGACAATAGGTAAGCATTTACTGTCTTCTAAGCCCCTGCTCATCATGGAGGTGCTCTGGGGTGTGTTGTAGTGTGCTGCGGTAGGGAAGCCCACTCAAATGAATGGGCTGTCCGACCTCAGCGACCCCGCAAACATGCTGCTGACATGACCCAGAGTGTTTGGTTATACAGGGGTGTGGAATGTTTAAAAAAAAAAACAAAAAACTAACTTGTTCAAGGACTAAAGCAGGGGCCCGATCTACTGGTCCCTTAGGGCAATCTACTTGTCCCAATACAAAAAATAATTTCAACCAAAACTGTATTTAACTGTGGGGGCTTCTCATTGGTCAGCACAGTCACCTGACCAACGAGTGGCCACAATTTGCGAGTAGGGCTGCAACCAACTAATCGATAATAATGAGAACAGTTGTCAACTATTCTCATAATCAATTAGTTGGTTGGATCCCCTAGCTCTCTCCTCCATGCTGGGGGGAGGGCAAAGCAAGCAGTGGGCGGGTGCAATAGCCAGCCTGCTATTGCAAATTGAAATGGCCAATAGCACACTGGCTATTGCACCAGCCTACTACCTGCTGTATTTCCATTCAGCTGCCGTCTGCGGAATCTCGCCACTGTCAGCTGTCATTCTGGCTGAAGCTATTCAAGCGCCATGTACTTACAATGCAAATATTAAAAAAAGGGTGGGAAAAAGTCATTTTCTGTTTCAGCCTGACACATTCTGCCGCGGGAGGTGCGATTCATTTCAATGGCACCCCAAACGCACCTCCCAACCACAGTATGACCACCTGCACTGGAACGCTCAGTACCGTGATGCCATGCATACCTGTGCAGTACGATTGCAAAAAAACAAAAAATGTATGGTTTGTAACACTGCATTTGTTTATTTTTTTTAAAATTAAGGATGATTTTTATTTTATCCGATGAGTCAAAAAAAGTCGGCCAACTAATCGATTATGAAAATCATTAGTTGCAGCCCTATTTGCAAGCACAATTCAAAATCCATAGCGCAGGGCTGCGCTGGACAGCAGTAAGGGATACAGACAGTACCCCCGTACCAGCGGAGAGGAAGGACCAATCGCCGGATGGCAGCAGGAAGAGAGGGGACCAGATGTAAGCGGGTAATTCCATTTTCCCAAATTAATTGGGAAACTGAACTTGCCCTTTAATGCAGGGCTTGACAAATTTGCTTTGAATCAGGAGCCAGCAATTTCCAATTACGGTTTTAATTGGCGCACGCAGCAGGATCTGACATATGTAGCACAATTGTCAATTTTGTACGTAGGTGCACCCGACTTGTGTTTCCATTAGTAGGTGCTCTTTTGTGGGGACCTTTCATTTTCTTTTTTTTACTTAACTTCATTGCCATCACATTTGGAAGGGGTGGGGGCTCACAGGCCCCCTATGTGATAGCACATTGGAGTGGACAGGTTCTCTTCAAGGTGACATTAGGGGTCTATTAGACCCCTTTCTACTTCAATAACTTTAGCTGGGGAATGAATTTAACACAGCAGGCGGTGGCTGTGAGCAATAGCCAGCCTGCTATTGGCTATTTCAAATTGTAATCACTGTCTGCTGTTTACATTCAGCTGCCTCAGACAAGGACGGATAAGCAGGGTGCTGTGCAGCCACCCAGATCACTAGTTGGCTTCCCCGCTCTATATTTAGCCCGGAGATAGGAAGCCCGCACCCCTGTTATATCTGTTTGTGCATATATAAATGCATAAAGTACCTGTTGATCATTCCAGAAATCTTATCAACTGATAACAAGCTGCGCTCTCTGCATGTGCTGGCTGCAATCAGTTACCTTGTTCAGAGAACCATAAAACCCTGCCCATGTTATTGAGAGGCAGAGAAGAGCTCTTAGCTGTCCTGTTTGTGTTGTCTTGAAACAGCAGAGAGCCTGATAAAGTAAACTAATGCAGCCATAAATAAATAAATCTGGGTTTCTGGGTTTAAGTATGTTTTACCTAAACTGGTTACTTTGCTCAGCTCAGGTACAGGCTCCAAGGCTGTCATAATAACTCGGCCACCTCACAGACTTGATGTATACAGGATGGAGGAAGAATCTGTTAATGAAGCCAGGATCAGAAGGGCCTAAAACATCCGCAATAACAGCTTCCATATTGACACACTCAGGATTCACCTTCAGCTGTCTTTTCCCCACACTATCTCTTGGATGCCTTAACAAGGTTTCACGTCATTTAAAACAAATTCACCAAAACCAAAGCAAAGAAAATAACAGCACACAGAACGCTTGCTGTAAACTACACTCCTGGTTTCCTTTTTGCAGTAAAATTGGAATCTGCTCGGCTGCGATGGACAATAACTATTCACCTGGTAATCAGCAAACATGAATGACAATTATAGGGGATTTTTTTTTATATTGTTTCTGTGCTCGGCTCCCTAAACAAAACAAATTTTGTTTATGTCCAATTTTCCTACATCTGTTACAAATTAGATTAAAACAATTCAATATAAAAAAATAAGTAAAAAGCTTATTGTTCCCAAATTTGGTTGATGAGGCCCTTAAGGAAAGCAGGAAAAAAAAGGAAGAGTTCACAGATACACAATTACCAGTAAAGGTGATCCGGATCGCTCAGGTTGATTCAAAAATGTAATATGACAAATTGGAGTAACAAGACCAATATAAAAAAGGCATGCATGCAATTTGCATTATATAACGCACATGTCAACTACTTCCTCATTCAAATACTGTGGGATGAACTACAACACAAAGAAGCATTTCATCAAAGAGGAAGGTTTTCCCCAAATGTTACATCCAAGCAGAGGACACGCCACCTGAAGGGCCCCCAGTAGTCAGGTCCAGCGCAGCATGTTCTGAGCCCCCTAATGCCATATAGAGACATCCACTTTCCTGAATGATCATTCAATGACGACATCAAAGACTTGACCAATGCCATTCTAAATTTCATTTGGTTTTACCATTCGATTTTGGAATGAATGGAGTTTCCCCAAATGAAAAGCCCTTCACTACTAGAATTCCATTCAGGAAGAATGTTCCACCGTGCTCCTTCAATTGTTATGTCTCCACGATCAAAAAGATCAATTTGACCCAGTTTACTATCAGGAAATCAGACGAACGTTCCTAAAATACATTTCTTTAGGGTTAGTTCACACTAATGCGTTCCAGCCTGATTTTGGTGCGGTGCAGTC